GGGGGAAACTGTTTTAACAGCAAATCATATTTTGAATAAAATACCACCTAAAGGGAAAAATGAGACTCCTTACGAAATGTGAAAAAATCGTAAGCCGTCTTATAAATACCTGAAAGTGTGGGGGTGTTTGGCTAAAGTTTCAGTTCCTGAACCCAAACAAATGAGAATCGGGCCAAAGACGGTCAATTGTGTGTTTATTGGATATGCGTACAATAGTACAACATATAGATTTCAGGTTCATAAATCAGAAAATCCAGAGGTATCTGTTGGTACTACGATTGAGTCGAGGAATGCTATATTCCTTGAGAATATATTTACTCTGAAGGAAAGGGCAGAATCTAGTTCTAATAAACGAACATATGAAACTGCTAGTCGTTCCGTACCAGAGGGTACCGATGAAGAACCGAGACGTAGTAAAAGGGTAAAAAGGGCTAAAACGTTTAGACTTGATTTTATTACGCATATGTTGGACGATGAACCGAGTTCCCTTAAGGAAGCTCTGTCCAGCCCAGATGGACCACTCTGGGAAGAAGCTGTAATTAGCGAAATCGAGTCCATTATGAAAATCATACTTGGGAGTTGGTTGATCTCCTTGAAGGCTGTAAACCTTTAGGATGCAAGTGGATCCTAAAGAAGAAATATAAAGCTGATGGATTGATTGATAAGTTTAAAGCACAATTGGTGGCCAAAGGCTTTAAACAAAAGGAAGGATATGATTTCTTTGATATATATTCACCGGTTACACGTTTAGTGTCGATAAGAATGCTTCTCTCGATTGCTGCTTTGCACAATCTTTAGATTCACCGAATGGATGTCAAAACGGCATTTTTGAATGGTGAATTAGAAGAAGAAATATACATGGAACAACCTGAAGGGTTTGTTGCACCTGGACAAGAGAGAAAGGTGTGTAGATTGATCAAATCCTTGTACGGATTGAAACAAGCTCCGAGACAATGGCATTTGAAATTTGATAACGTGATGTTGTCAAATGATTTCAAAATCAACGAATGTGACAAATGTGTTTATGTCAAGAGTACATCAAATACATTTGTGATTGTACGTCTATATGTAGACGATATGTTGATCATAGGGAGTAGCCATGAAGTGATCATGGATACGAAAAGAATGTTGAAGAGAAATTTCGACATGAAAGATATGGGTTTGGCTGATGTTATTCTTAGAATAAGGATTATCAGAACCCAAGATGGAATTGTCTTGTCACAATCTCATTATATAGAGAAAGTGCTCAAGAAATTTAATGCCTATGACGGTGCACAGTCTAGGTGTAAGACGCCCCTTGATCTTAGTATAAATCTGGTGGCTAATAAAGGTCAACCAGTGGCTCAGTTGTAATATTCACGGATAATAGGGAGTCTGATGTACTTGACAAATTGTATACGACCAGGCTTGGCCTATCCGGTGAGTAAGTTGAGCAGATTTACATGTAATCCCAGTCATTAACACTGGAATGCTTTGAGAAGGGTACTTAAGTACTTAAGGTACACCCTTTAATACGGGCTGAAATACTCGAGATATCCAGCCGTACTTGAAGGGTACTGTGATGCAAGCTGGATATCAGATTCGAGAGATTCTCGCTCCACTAGCGGATATGTTTTCTGTATTTGAGGAGGTGCAATTTCGTGGAAAACCACAAAACAAACATGTATAGCTCGGTCAACGATGGAATCGGAGTTCATCGAGTTAGATAAAGCTGGTGAAGAAGCCGAGTGGCTTAGAAATTCATTATCCGATATTCCATGTTGGGATAAAACTTTGCCGCCTGTGATGATTGATTGTGAAAGCTAAGCTGCTATATGTAGGGCGCAAAGAAATTTGTATAACGGTAAGTCTAGACATATTCGTAGACATAATACTGTACGTCGATTGATCACAAATGGTATTATTTCCATTGACTATGTGAAGTCTAAAGAAAATTTGGCTGATCCTTTGACGAAAGGATTGAATAGAGATCAATTGGTAGTTTTGCTAGAGGGAATGAGCTTAAAAATCCACAATGTAAAGAATAACCATAGTGGTAACCCTACCATGCTGAATGGAGATTCCATGAATTTGGTTCAAAGGGAAAACTAAGCTATGAAAATTCAGTTGAGCACTTGGAACATATGAATGTCCAAAGCTATTCCCTAGAGCACTCCAAGTGCAAGATGACCTGTTGATTGTGGTGAGGGTAAGTCATATGGACTTTTAATGAATCCCTAACCTTGTAAAGGTGGAGTATTACAGGATACTCTAGATAGAGAAGTCACATATATAAGTGTGAAGTGTGGGCCGCTTCAAATATAAACGCTTTTGAATCCAAAGTGTTGTCCATGGCCAAAACGGACACAACGTTAGAACGGAATGGAGTTAAGACTCTATTGTGTGAATGTCATTGTCTTGGTGTACACTATGGAGGAATAGTTCAAGGCATTATGTCCCCTAGGCCGCCAATGCATCCGATGATGTTTATTCAGAGTTCAAAGCCACAAGCTACCTTATTTGATGCAACAGAGTTTATTGAGGATTGAGCACAAGAGTCTGCGCACATTAAATTTTCACTCATGTAGGGGATTATTAGTATTGAGTGGAAATTTTTTTATTGAGTAGGACCCACCCACTTGACCTCATAATTTGATCATTTGCGCAATATGAAAATTTCCCATTCTTCTGCATTGGATTGTGTGCCTCTTGATTTTTAAACCATATGCCAATTTGAGTGCTTTATTGAGTGGAGTATTTGTCATCCCATTTGCCCATTTCCCCTTACTTTGTGCCATACTTCTAATTGGCCACTAACATAACCAAATTGCACCTTATACCTTTATAAATAGATATCTGCACATTTGCTAGTACCACACGAAAGAATAATATATGCAAGAGTACAGAGAGAGATAGGAAAAATATCAGGAAAAAAAAAAAGATAAAATTTTATCTGTTATCTAAATAATAAAAGTGAGATATTGTTATTCCTATTTTAAGTCCTCAATTCTCAACTCCGTTCCAGTTCGCCGGAGCTCGTAAATCTGGTGTGCTACAGATTTAGAGACGTTTGCCGTTGTATCTTTGGGGAAGTTACGCCTGAACCGTTAGCTGCCACACGGGGCGTATTCTTCTTGCGGAAAATGTTTTACTCGCCTCGGCTAAAATCTTTCCGTTTTATTTTCAATCTTTAATTTATTTTTCAGTTCAATTGTAATTTTTTATTTTAGATTATTTGTAAGAACTGAAAAATATGTACCAGTTCGTAGGATTCCCTTATAATTTTACACCCAAGAATTAACATTCTACATCTATAAGACATGAATACAATTTAAAGTGATACTAAGGATATGAAGTTGCTTGGATATTATTTGTTGTGAGGATATGAAGTTGCTTTGGTACGATGAATCGTATCATAAGAACAAGACGTTCTTCTACTATCCATGTTAGTTGGCATTAGATTCTCTCAACATAACAATTGATTGTGAAATGTGTGCTATCTTGAAGTACGGTCCTTGTTCTAACAAACCAGTCAAATAAAAAATTTCTCAACTAGCCTTTTGAAACATCTTTTTATTCAATCTGCCAATATTTAATGAGAATATAAGAGGATTTAAAAAACATATGGTAGTGGGGATGAAAATATGAGGAGAAGATACAGAAAGAAACTACAAGAAGAAGACATAAAGGAACCAAATTGATAATCCCATGAGTATACTACTTGTGTGCATTATGGTCTGAATTTGCTGACAGGATCAAGTTCTGGAAAAAATCCAATTTTGGTTCTCTAAGTTGGTCATTGTCCATTTTTTATACACCAACTTTCCACTCATCAATAATAGTACGTTATGATGCAATTTGTATCATTTTTGGGACATTGGTCATCAAAAACAGTACGTTATGTTGCTATATGTATCATTTATAGGACATTAATCTCAAAAAATAATGAACCATTTTTGGGATAAGGTCCCAATAGTAATACAAACTGCAACATAACGTACTATTTTTGATGAGGGGAAAGTTGGTGTACCAAAAATGGACAATGGACAACTTAGAGGACCAAAATTGGATTTTTGCCATCAAGTTCTCACTATTAATATAGGTTTATTGATACAAAGAATCTTAGAAACACAACATTAGTTACAGTATAACTAATCTTAGAAATACAAGTTTATAACTTGCATTACAGCCTATTACTATATAAAAATATTCTTAAAATCATCTTCACCTCTCTTTCAACAGTCTATTAATATCTCAAAATATTCTTATCATCATCTTCACCTCTCTTTCAACCTAATTCATCTCAAAACAATAATAAACATAAAATGTTGAGCTAAACATACATCACCCCATGTCACGTCAAATCTTCTGAAGCTTTTCTTTCCTTCGGATGCAATATGCCAAGAAGGCTGTTTTTCACGGATTAATAGTTGTATTAATCTCTGCCCACCAGATATATAAGAGAAATAGAAAACACAAACCACACCCGCTTAGAGAAAACAAACACTGAACTGAACTCACCACCATTGACGAACGCTCTTACAGGCTATGCTAACTACTAAGGTGCTGAAACGGCCAAGTTTAACTAATCCAAAAATTGGTGACACTGAATTATGTCTATCATACGATTTTGTAGAATTACATTCTTACACTGTGGGCAATAGGGGTGGCAATTTGGCCTCATTCAACTAGACAAAAATCTTTAGCTTCAACTGATTTTCCTCCAGTTGGTCCCATGCATAAGGCACATACAATAAATAATCAGATACTTTCAACGGATCTAGAAAGCGATTAAAGAGATCTAGGATTACTCTGCTAGCTGCCAACAAGTGATATTCATTAAAGAAAATATAAGAATAAATGTAAAAAACCAAATACTCCATTTAATGTAGCAACAATCAAAATACTAAAAGGTAACAAATATAATTTAATGTCTCATTAAAAACAAAATCATTCATCTAAGAAATGACTAAATACTAAGATAAACATCTCAAATATCAGAGCAACTAGAATTTGTCACTTTATGGATCATCTTTAAGTTGAATGATATGATTGGAACATTTGTGCTTGTCATGGCCCCTCTGCCTACATAAACTACAAGATCGAGCACCTTGAGATATGACTTTCTCTTTATTCGACTTTAGACGCTTGCCACAACCTTTAGTTTGTATAGGCTTGGGGTCGCGTACAAGAAATGTCTCATGGCCTTTGTAATTACTCAATCTCTTGCTCATGCATTCCTTGTCGTCAATCTCACCAACTTCCCATTTTAAAATTTTGAGTTCTCCCATTAAAAACTTGGTTCTCGCCTCAGTCAGCGATGCATCATCGATGAGCTCTCTTGTTATTTTCATCAGCGCCCCACGTCTGCCTTGCAAAGATTCACCTACTTCAAAATCAAATGGCTTGACCGACGAATCAACCTGTGGTATGAACGCTTCGTCTTGCTCAATCTCCATCCTACGTAAAACCAAATATACCGAATGTCATAAATAATAAAAACAAAAATATAAAATTGTGACAAAAAAATCATATTTAATATTCTTCGTTCTGATTTCATTGTTATAATAGTTTGTTAATAATTACATGAATAAAAAAAATATAAAATCAGCAAATTGAGACTAACTCAAGGAACATACAAAATTTCTTTTACATGATTAGATTCAATAAGGGTTACCTTATTAATTTTCAAATTTTAGAAGAAGAAGGACAGTGTATTTTGCGAGAAGAACATCAACAGCAGTGTATTGTGTGGCTGGAGCGTGATGGGTGAGAGAAGAAGATGATCGACTGCGTATTGTGTGAGAAGAAGAACATCCTAAGAACAGCGTCCCTAGTTTTCTATTCTATTTCTTTAGTTTTTTTTTTCTTTTTTTCTTATCTATACAAAATTAAAATAACACANTGGTGTATTTTAATACACATGTGTGTGCTATGTAAGAGCCACGCAGGCAGATCGCTCCGTCAGAAAAATAATCGGATATAGCATACAACTATAAGTTTTATATACTCCAACAAATTATGAGATTGAAATCCTAAATAATCTATTTGTTCGATATTTTCAATTATGTGTGCAGTACAGAAAATTTTTTGTGGAGTGCAGCATATATAATTTTGGAAAATACTTATGGATACATGAGATATTATCTTGCTCAGATATTTTGATATAACGTGATATGTATGGTTTCCTAGTCCCAGTAAGTTTTCGAGATTTATTTGATACCACAAATTATTTTTATAAATTTTTCAATCTAGTATGTATGTGAAAATATGAAACATGACATTTAATGATTACGTTATAAAATCTGTTTTAATTATTTATTGATAATATGGACGTGAATATTTTTGTACATGGTCTTGGGTGAGATACATATATGTATGTGTAATTTTGTCTTTATTAAATTATTATATGGTCATGTAAGAGTTATGGACTAAAGTATGGATTAAGTATTATATAATCTACAAGATTATAGCTCCAACATGATTTGAAAACAAGAAAAAAATAGATACTTATGTTTGATGGTTTTAGTGCTAAAAGAACTAATGTGAACATTATAAGTATGTCTATTATATATAGAAGGAATATTATATGTAAAATATAGTTGGAATATGTGATATATATTATCAATGCTACACAACTCAATTTATGATCATTTTTGTAATATGGTTGCATGATAAGATAGAATCGTGCAATTATGAAAATGCTGAAGTATTATTTAGCAAATATCTATCTATCAAAATGTTGATGTCGAAAATTGGACGATCAACTATTAAATAAGAGTCGAACTTCTTGTAGGAAAATGAAGAATAGATGATGAAGTTCTCTTTTCTTATTTTCGAGAGAGTATTTCCCTTTTTTTGTTGTTGGGGGAAGAAGAATGAGGAGAAGAAGCCTCTCTCCCCTCTCTTCTCATATATATATATACATGAATTAAAGAAGGTACAAATAATACACTAGCATTCAATGCGAGGCGACAACCAGGGGGCCCACTTATGTCTTTTGATGGCTTCGATTGACGTCTACTTTATCAGCAATTATTGCGTTTACTGGAGGCGGCTTCTGGGCGATCAGTCTTGGGAACCTGTTTATACATTTATTTATTAAGTATTTTCGGCTTCTTGGTTATCGGGCCGTATTTTATTATTTCATTTATCATTTAATTAATGAGAGCCAAATGGGTATCAACACAAAACTTATAAGATTCAGTTAAATACTAGTAGTCCCAGGATGACACTAAAATTAAATATTGATGGATAGAAAAAAATTATAAGATTCAACTATAAAATTCAATTAAATACTAGTAGTCCCAGGACGACACCAAAATTAGAACTATGTATCGGTTGTAATTAAGATAACAATATATATTTCATTTATCGATAGCCCGTGGGTTCTGCTCATGAGATGCTTATGAATATCAAGGATCTTTTCTGTCATCAGTCTAGGACAGGCCCACACACAAGGCTATGAAAATTCCTTTGTCCTTAGGCTAATGGAGCAGTTTAATGAATTGGAGGTCCTAGGAGGAAAAATCGATAGGGAGACCCAAGTTGATATCATCCTCAATTCGCTACTTAAGAGTTTCGACAAGTTGCGCCTGAACTATAACATGAATAATATGTTGCTGTGGTTGTCTAAATCCAATGGCCTAGTCGCCTTCCCGGCAACGGCGTCATTTGTTAAGTAGTTTTTAGCCGTGTACAGAATAAATTCCGACCTCAGGTAGTGTCTCTCGAGGAAGGTTGTTCGGACACGGATTCAAACAAAGATTGACTCACACAAGAAAAGAAAATAAAAAGTCCCAAACACTCTACTCGCAATTTGGGGTTTGATCTAAGCTAAATAATACAACTTTCAACTAGGATGAAAGCAAGATTCAAACTTTAACACAAGCAAGCCCTCAAATTGCAATAAAAAGGAAAATAGAGAGAAAAAGAACAAGGTAGCCTAAGACCCGGGAGGGAAAGAAGGCACTCATAGGTTAAAAAACATACAATCAAGTAATCGCAACTCGCGAATCAACTAATCGAGCACTCAATTAATTCTTACTTACGCAATCAACAACAAAACATATATTCCCTAACCTACGACTATGATAGCATACTTTACTCATGAAAGCTCCTACCCTTACTCTAGGAAAATCTAATAAGTAAAGACTAGAAAAACTTACGAGATATTAGATCTTAAACTAAGTCTCCAAGTCTCTAGTTCACCCACGAGAAGAAATAGGCCAGAAAATTTTAATCTCGACGAAGAATTATTACAATAAAAATTAGGTCTTGGAGCCCTTAGAGAGAAATAGAAAACTACAGAGAGAAAAAAAAAAACCAAAAGAAAAATCTTGCAAATGAGGATTTGATACCGAAAGCACAAAGAGCTAAGTCTATTTATAGTTACACCTCAAACACACACTAAAAACACAAATTCACTAAGCAACACCCGCCCAAATAAGACTGCAAACCAAAATTTCGCTAGGTGAAAGTGAGCTCGGGTCGCCTGGGCGAAAAATTCACCCAGGCTAGTGCTGGGCAAGTGTTTTCTCGTGCCTGGCTGGTCTCGAGCGGCTGTGCGGGTGAGTTGATCGCGTGGCAAGGCATTCGGCGAGTGCTGGCGCAGGCAAACGAGCACTGAGTGGATCGCTGGGCGAGGGTGCAGCTGGGTCTCCTCGGGCACGGCGTGCGCATCTCTCGGCACTCATGACATGCGCGAAAGTTTTCGCGGGCATAGAGTAGTAGATGGACGGGCCGCCTTGTGCTGGCAGGGCACTCACGACCTAGGCGAGTTTATTTCACGACGCGGAGTAGCAGGTCGCATGGGTCGCCTCATCGACGTGGGAGTGTGTGCGGGTGTTTGTGTGTGTGCTCGGGTCATCTCGGCAAGGTGCTGCGGGAGCGGCTAGGCACGACCTAGGTCTGTGTGCGGGTTGCGGTAGGACTCGAGTCCACCTGGTGCTAACCGGGCCAACCGACCAGGAATTCTCCGGCGCTTTTTACGGTGACTTTCCGGCAAGTTTTCGAGTATTTTCTGGCGACTTTTCGGAATGCAAACTTCCTACAAAATAGAAGATAAAAAGTGAAATAAAAAACACAAGACACTAAAACGACACGAAAAACACAAAAACGAGCATAACGACTAAATGGACCAGGAAAAAACTTAAAATTAACTAAAACGAGCACGAATAAAACACTTAAAATAACAACAAAAACATACAAAATACGCACCCACAGAACTACAAGCCACATAGCAAAAGCTCAAAAAATAGAGAATCATTAATCCCAACGAGATAATGCACACTCCCACCGGAAGAATCATTAATCCCAATACACCATACAACAACACACAAACACTAAAACACACCACAACAATACACAAACACACTTAAACAAACAAAACCAAAAAAATGCAACAGAGGCCCTCCACACAGCAGAAAAACCAAGCCCAGCACAAGGAACCAGCAGAACTCACGACCGACCACCCCCATACCCTGACCTAAAGTCTAGAAAACCACTTCTGAAACTGCCTAAACGCCTAACTGAAGCCGAATCCAGAGACCCTGAACCACTCCCAGAGGTGAAGTTAACCCAAAGTTGGAGGAGAAATGACCATACTCCCCCACACACCACTACCCCCAACCCAACCAACACCACTGGCCTAGGTCCGAAAGCATGTCGGTCACCCCTCAACCTTCACACCAAAGGAACATGGATACAGGGGGTACGAGCCACCACTCATCAGCCTCGGCTATCCCGCCTCAGATAGATGCGAGCAACCAGGGTCACACCCAACCCCCAACCACACGCCACCACCCAACACCACTACGCAACCAGAAAGGCCGACAACCGCGACCCCGACGGTCGACCAGACCACAACGAGAACCAACTGTCGGGCGACTATCTTTCTCCATCGGCACAAGCAGACTGGGAATAGCACAAAATTGAGGCAAGGCTGCGCGGCTAAGGGCCATCCGCTGGGAAGAGGACCTACAAACTGCCGGGGAAGGCAGGCAAAAGGAGGATAGCGACGACTTTGAAAGATGAGGAAAAGGGAATTAGGGCATGTCTGTTTTTTTTAATGATAATTCATAAAACTCTCTCCTACTTTTACATCATATAATGTTAAAGTTGATATGATGTAAAAGTTGGAGAGAGTTTTATGAAAATGTTAGTTAGAAATTACGAGAGTAGATAAATAATGAATTTAAGTTGATGTGGTGTGTGAGAATAATTTATTAATATTATTTAATTACATGAATAATGTTGAGAAGAGTTTGAGTTAAAGAGTGTAAAAATTATCCAATAAGTCAAACCCGATTTTGTTCGGTAGCCAATCGCCTCCTTAATGTTTTTTTCTTTTTTTTTTTCATTAAAGGCTCATTTTTCATATATGTTTTTTGGAGTTGTAACATGGTTAGGACATCATTATGCTATTATATATTTTATTTTGTCCATGAAATGATACGTTTAATAAATTAAGTAATTTATCTTACTAAAATTAATCAGTAAAAAACATTTCTCATCACGTGCATCGCATGTGCGCTTTACTAGTATATAGAAAAGGAGTCGGGATTAAAAAACGCCATGATTCTATTTGTATTTCTATATTTCTCGGAAGAAAACCGAAAACTTTTTTTTTTTTATTATTATTATTATTTAAACCTTCCCGTTTGGCGCCTCAATGTTTCCAACAGGACCCTTGAACCATTTTCTTGCATCAACAACCCACCAAAGCATGATGAGACCCAAACCAACGCCCAACGCAACCGGTGCATAATTCAACGTCTGCCAAGTAACTGGGTAATACGTCGGCAACAGGAACACCGAGCAAGTGTAGCAAATCCACAGAAAGGCTACCAAGCAAATAGGCCTCCTACCTCTGCCCAAATAGAAGGGCCCCGCATTGAAATCCCTTTCAGACATCACTAGTCTACCAAAGATGGGCACAGCATAGCCGCCGACCCACCCAATCGTGCATATTGAGGTTATGGCGGTAAATATGACATTGAGTTTGAGGATGGGAAGTCCTAGAATTATGCATAAGCCTGCACACAACCATACAGCGTTTGAAGGCACTTTGTGCTTCGGGTGCACTTGTCTCCATATGGATGAGAATGGTACTCCTTTGTCCCTTGATAAAGCTTAAACCACTCGAGCAGCACTAGTTGTTATCGAAAGTCCACCAAAGAAAAACGAACCCCATATGATGAAGAGGAGAATTATTGCACCGGTAGAACTATGATACCTACCATGGAATGCATCATAGAGTATCTGAGCCGGGACAAATGCCCCCGCCGTATCATTAGACTAGTGCGTGGCCCGTGCGATGCATGGAAAAACATTTTTATGATTTTATATTATAAATTAAATATATAAATATCATTAATTACGATTTACCAATTGTTTTTAAATTAAACCAGGTTGGACACAATCCGATCGGATGGATCGAGAATAGGTTTATAACCATTCTAGTTCGCTTGAATAAAATATTTTCTATCGAATCCGTCAACACCAGTCGGTTGGACTGGTAGGACCGATACGATTTTCTAAATAAATTTTGTTACATTTAAAATTATTGTAATAAAATTACATATTTAAATAAAATAGAGATTTATAAATTGTTTATCAATTAGTTTAAACATTTGAATTTATAAATTGTTTAGATATTTAAGTGACACATTTTATTTAAATTTATTACAAAAAGTACTCTATATATATATAAATGTATATATATAGATATTAAATTATTTATAAATTAAAATTTGAACAAACCACAAATGATTTAATAGAATAACTTAATCGTTTCGATGACAGTTCGATTCTGAAAACCATATTCACTGTACATTAGTAAAAATTACAATAAAATATTATTTATTCACATAAATATTAATTAAAGGATATATAAATATTCATTAATCATTAAACATGTTGTCATAAAAGTATTGTTAATATGATTATTTGAAGTTTGGACAATTCGACTACATTACATTACGTAATAAAGTATTGGCAATATTAAATTTATATTTAGGTTCAATAATCGATTTGGTATGGTCAAACTGATACATAACTTAGTCACCTGTGACCATCCAAATTGTGTCAAGTTTTTTTTACTATTTTAAATATCACTTAAAAGTAATTCAACCAACCTGGATAGTACCCTAGTTCAATAACCAGATTGCTCCAAATAAATTTTCTTATTTTCTTTAAATATATTTAATTTTACAAAATAAAAATATTTTATGATTCATATAATAAATGTCTAAACCAAATGATAGTATATTAAGATTATAAATTATATATCTAATGATGAATTAATTATTTTTACTTTATGCATATTAATAAAAAATAAACATAGTAATTTTTAAAAAATTAAAATGAATTGATAGATTATGCAATTTAAAGAATATTTTAGCATTCAATATTTTTCTCTGAAAGACACAAATATAAAGACTGAGATTCTAAAACTTTTATTATATTTTGAATTGAGATTTTATAAATATAGAGAATGAGATTTTAATGTTGTTGGTTGTTTCTAAGAAAACAAAATAAAAATAAAAACATGCACACTTAATTTATCTTAGCCGAATTTTTTAAATACTAAAATAAACTAAAGCTCGAAATTTAAGGTAGCATTTAATGTTGTATGATTTTTTAAAGAAAAAAATAAGAAAAATAGTAAAACATATTATTTATGGGTTGCATTAAATTTTGACCTATCTTTTTGCTACTATCTTGAGTTAATGGTTATTTTTATAATATATGTATATATATATATATATATGTATACTATTTTGAGTTAATGGTTATTCTTATAATATATGTATAATATATATATATATATAAAGATTTTTGAAACAATAAATTTGAAATTTGACTTACTTATTGTAAAATTTGAACTTGAAGAAAAAAATAAAGAGATGAATTTCAATTGATTTGAAGTTCTTAAACCATTATGAATTTCGTACAAATTGAAACCAGTTAAATCTAAATTTATTATAATTTGGTAATTTTAAAGATGTTTGTTAATTTAAAGTGGCCTAATATCCTTAATCTATGGAATGATTTTATTCATCCGTCCAAGAATAAAAGCATGTGATTAGATTTTTTTGGAATTCAATGTGAACAAAATCTTTTATTTTAGGAAGGGATTTTGAATTAATCCCGGCAACCAAAATGAGACAACTCAAATTTCCAAAGACAAAATTTTCAGATTGTTTGGAATCTCACAATCAAATTTTTAAAATCAAATAAGAGGGATTTTGTATTTAAAATTATATTCAAATGATTGAAATTTTCAAAACTTAATGAAACCAAACCCACTAATTTAGGCATAATTTAATGCTGCTGGAAATTTTTTAAAAATAAAAAACAAAAAAGTTACTAAGAATAGTAGGTAATTAATGTTGACCGAAATTTGACTTACTAATTTTGAAAAATGGTAATTCTTATTATATATATAAAAAAAACATCTTTAATAAATCCAAATGGAATAATTTTAATTTTCGACATTACTCATCAAAAACAATACATTATGTTGTAATTTGTATCATTTTAGAATATTAATCCCAAAAAATAATGAACTATTCTCGAGATGATGTCCCGATTAATAGTGATATAAATTACAAATTAATGTACTATTATTGATAAGGGAAAAATTAGTGTACCAAAAAAAGACTTTAGATAAATAAACGGACCAAAATTGAATTTTTGCCAAATCCAAATCCACCCATTTCAAAAATGCTTTTTATGGCAATGTACCTGGATACTGAATGTTAGAGCCAATATATAACAGAAATTCTACAATGGATATTAGGCGTTGGATCGTGAAATTATGGCACCATATGATGCCCATATGGGCACCATAGAATTTCTGAATATATAAGCCCACCCAAATACCAAAATGATCCCTATGCTTGAGAGTATTGCTATGGGACCATTCTTGTCCGCATCCTTTGTTTCTTCGGTTAAATATGCTGCAGCATCGTATCCGAAGAGAGAGTACTGACTCACGAGAAGAGAGAGAATGGCTGCGTATGCCTTGCTAGAAATCCCGGTCGACTCAGGAGCCATCTCGAATGTAGTGAACACGTATGAAGCCGGCTGCCTAGTGAGGGACACGAGAGGAAGTGCGATCATGATTACTAATCCACCAATAACCTGCCGCCATAAATGATTGTAGTTTTTCGCTGAAATGTTGTTTTCGGAGATTTGGAATGAATAACCGTACCTGCCACCATATGGAGATGACGTCAATAAACGCGATAACTTCAAGAGTGAAGGTGTTGAGCACTGCCCATATAACCGTGAGCGCCACGTACATACACAAGATTAGCCATTTTGGAGCAAAATATCCCCCGTTTTTATTCGTACCGGTACAAAGCAGAATGATACTCTGTAAAGTCTGAGATCCTCCATACGCCTAAAACGAAGCAAGAAAATGGAAAGTTGGAACATTGTGCCAAAATTTATCAACTTATTCCAAAATGCAATCAATATACACAGACAGACCTGTGTCCCTATACCGGCAATCAGCCCTATGGTCTCAAGCCAGTCACAGCACCAAGATGCAAATGGGCCGCACGAGGGCCCAGCTAAATAGTTGGCCCAAAAGTAGAGGGATCCGGTTGTCTGGAAAATTTGAAATATGAGACTATATTATATACTACTGCTGCAGTTGGAGAAATTAATAAAATAAATAAATAAATAACGGTTAAAAGGAAGAGACAGGGAATGATGAGCAAATCTCAGCCATGGCGAGCCCAACGAAGCACGTGAAGAATGAGACGACGAGCCAGCCCCAGACGAGAGGGGCGGGTCCCGCGTAAAGCAGACATGAACCATACAGAGGAGTTATTCCAGTGAAAAGTGTCATTGTTGAAAACGATATGGCCAGCGTCTTGAAAAAGGTCTGCACCGGAATAAATAATCATTATAAGCTGATTTCATTGACCAGCTCACTTTTTGGAAA